GTGTGTGTGTGTGTGTGTGTGTGTGTGTGTGTGTGTGTGTGTGTGTGTATGGGTTGTGCGTGCATATTACGCTTTTCGCACGATTTGTTGTCGAGTGCTTACAATTCGCCCGACCGACAGCAGCAGCCAGCATCTATCGCAGTGCCCCTTCGAGTGGCCACGCCCCATTGAAGAAGACTTCAATTCAATTCAGTTCAGTTCAGCTCGCAGCGCACCTACAATTTCCGCATGTCAACTGCACTTTGCATGAGTGCGTTCCAAGCACCCTCCGTTCGTTCCCCAGCCCCCCACAGCTCCGGCATGCCTCATGCCTAAAATCTAGCTGACATTTCGCCTACCCACATTTGCCCCATGTACGTATGTGTGTATGTGTGAATCCCTCTCGGTACAGCCCAGGTTTCTATTTGGTTTCCTCTTTCTTATATTTTCATTTTCCCTTCTCTTTTTTTCCTGTGGCATTTCCACTTGATTTACAAAACTCAACGCAACAACAATGAGAAAACCACATTTGACTGACTGACTGAGTGACTGAGTGACTGAGTGACTGAGTGACTGACTAGCTGACTGAGTGCCTGCCCCTACCGAGGCGAGTTGCCAGCGCCTGTTGCCTCCTTCCTGTGCTGTGCTGTCCTGTGTGTGGACTGCTGCTGTTCGCTGTTGATTTATATGCACGTCGATTCGACGTAATTGAAGACGTGATCGAAATTCAAATTTTTGATTTTTAGACCCGTGACTGCATTGACCTACCCCTCTCACGTCACGCCTCCTGCTCCGGCTCCTGCTCCAGCCCCGCTCCCGATTATCTGCATTCCCTTGTTTGTTCCACATATTCGCATTGGCAACGTCGTCGAACTTAATGTGATTTTGGTTTACGCTCAGCGTGTAAGCCACCCACTCCGCACTACCCTCCCCTGCCCGCTGTGTGCCACGTCCTGCGCGATTCCCATGCTAATGTCGCGTTACATCTTCAGTTTGCCTATTTTCTTTTTTTTTTTTTTTTTGTTGTGCATTGAAATAATTCTCATTTCTGGCAACAAGTGAGTGCTGAGCCTCGGCGCTGCATTTCATCAATGAACTAGCTAGAACCCAATCTCAACTGCCTGCTCTGGCCCACATCCGCTCGCCCTCAGTCGGTGGCTTACCAGCAACCAGCAAATCATTGAAAGCTTTGTCAATTTCACATTTTATCAGTTTAAAGCTACAGTGCACACATCAGCCGGAGTCCATTAGCTACGGCCGTACGCCGCCGACCGGCTCACTGCATTGCTCTACATCGACTGTGCCTTCACAATCCATTCGGGAGAGGGGGGGGAGTGCATTTGACGTTCGTTTTCTATATCTGCTGCCAGTTTGACTATGGGACTCTTTTCCCAGAATCTCAACCCACGCTACACCTCTACTCCTCTCTCCCTCTCTCTCTTTCGCTCTCCTTGTTCGCTGTCTGTTGTATTGCCGTCATGCCATTCAGTATCTTCCCAACTTTGTTAAATCAGCCATGAAAACGGATTGTCGTCTGTATTCCACTGTCTGTATCCTGCCTGTCCTCTGTCTTGTCAACTGTCTGTGCATTTTGCATTTCGTTTGCTCATTTGACTTGGGTGCTGACTGAATGACTGCCTGATGGACAGACTGTCCGACAGCCGGACGGACGTCGGGAACGTGACCTGCTGCCATGTCTAAAAGCTTTCAATAATAATGGCACACCAACACTGAGGGTGGAGAGAGAGAGGGAGAGAGGGAGGGAGAGAGAGACTACTGCTGCTTATTAACATTGCCCTCTTCAATGTGAGACGGTGTGTGTGTGTGCGTCTTGGGGATTATGTCTCGACAGGCCTCTACCTACCTCTACCCTCTCTCTCTCTCTCCTTCTCTCTCTTTCTCCCTTCGACACCTGCGTATCGCTGCATAGCCTCGTCTCACGACTTTTCCGCCTCGTCTCAGCGTTAACTTCAACACCTGTCGCCAGCAGCCTCAACCTGCTCGACCCCCGTCCGCTCTGTCACATGCAGAAAACTCTATGGGTACCCTCGAACCGGGTCTAACTACCCCCCAGCCGCACGGCAAGCCCCGCAGAGCTACCCGCTAGACACATGCTAATGGTAAATGGTTGTGTTGTCGACAGTCAGAGACACACAACTGGTTGTTGTTGTTGTTGTTGTTGTTCTTGTCACACACACACACACACACATAGACACGGTGTTTTGCTTTTGTCTTAGGCTACGTTTGTGTTAATATTTACATAATTGTGGTTAAAAGTAGCTTTTAAGATGTTTTTAACTGGCAAATGGTGAAAAGCATTTTACACACACACACATGCACATATACTCTGTACTAGCCCCCAGCCACTCCCCCTTTTCACACGCTGTCTGCTGCCATTCCAGTGCTTTGCTTTTGCCATTTGCCAGTTTTGCTTTTGTTTCCATTTTGTGCTGCATTTAATGGCAACAACAACAACAACAACTGACAAATGTGTGTTTGATGGCATTTTATTGCCAACTCCCCCATGCCTCCCCCCAGGCCCTCCTCCCTCCTGCTTCAGCGTGCTCTGCTCGTTTATGGCTTGACATTTTCATAAAGATGCGTGGGGCTTGTTGGCGGAAGTTGTTTCTGTTTAGCAGCGGCTTTGTTGGCCATTTAGTTGGTATTTGCCTATTCCCGTTAACACACACACACGCACACACACACACATATACACTCGCTTTGCACTCGGCAAATTGTTCGAAAATATTTTTGGCCAACCTTAAAACATTTCATTTAGGTATTTTTTATACGCCTTGCCCACTGAAAATGTTTAGCAAAAAATAAAACAGGGTATACTGCAGCAAAGCAGGCATATTCGTTGCCATAGAGCATATGACTATACTTCTCCTGTCGCTGAGAATTAGTTATCTGAGCTTGATAATTCAATGGCAGATATACTCATTCATACAGTGGAAGGTGGTCTTCTTGGTATTATCCATAGCCTACGCAGTTGTAGAGCTGAAGTCTTTGTAGATCTCAGTTGAGCTTTTCCATATATAGAGCTAGCATTGGTCTCTATCTCTCTCTCTCTTACTCCCTCGGTTTCTTTCTCTTACTCCCTCTTTCTCTTTGTCTCTCTCTCTTTTTTTCTCTTACTCCTTCTCTCTTTGTCTCCCTCTCTATTACTTCCTCTAACTCTCTCTCACTCTCTTACTTGCTTCCTATCACTCTTTCTTTCTCTCTTTCCCATTAACATCTTCTCTCTCTTACTCCTTCTCTTTCTCTCTTACTCTCTCTCTCCCTCTCTCCCCCTCTTTCCTCCTCTCTCTCTCTCTCTCTCTCTCTCTCTCTTACTCCTTCTCTTTCTCTCTTACTCCTCCCTCCCCCTCTTTCCTCCTCTCTCTCTCTCTCTCTTACTCCTTCTCTTTCTCTCTTATTTCCTCTCTCTCTCTCTCTCTCTTTCTCTCTTACTTCTTCTCTCTCTCTCTGTATTACTCCACCTATCTCTCTTACTCCTTTTGTCTCTCTGTCTCTCACTTACTCCTTCTCTCTCTCTCTCTCTCTCTCTTAGTCCTTCTATCACTCAGACTCCCTATAGCAGCTTTTGCTAATAGCCTTCAGCTGCATGTAGGGTATCTCTTAGTCGTGCACACCCTGCCGCAGCTTTAGTTATTTACTTTTTAGTGCATTGACTGTTATGCGAATTTGTTGCAACAATTTCGTTGGGTTTTCAAAAATATTGAGCATCAAAAGTTGTTGCCACACATACTATACACCCACACACACACACACATTTATATATGTATATATATGCCACACTCCTATCTCTCTCATCTAGACAACCCCTCGATAGTCGCCATTCGGTTGGGGCTTGTTTAGTTGGCTCTTGAGGTCCGACTCGTGCTACCAAAACGTTTACGCTTGAGTATATATGTGTGTGTGCGTGTGTGTGTGTGTGTGTGTAATGTGTGGCTCTTTATGTTGCAACAAGAGCTAGTACTGCTCCTGCTCCTGCTGCTGCTGCTCCTGCTGCTGCTCCTGCTGCTTACCGCAGCCACAAAAACTTTAACTTTTAGCAGCTTGTTTCGTCCATTTGAACGTTTACCCTGCCCAGCCTCAAATGCTTTTTGCATACATTGATAAGGGCGGGGCTGTGGGGCCGGTTGGCTGGCTGGCTTTGAGGTTGCGGGGAAGCCGCATAAGGCAAAATTGTGGCAAGCCAAAAGCTCAAAGAGCGCAAACGCTTCAAAATGATAACAAAACCAAACGCGCTAACCAAAGGCGCAGCGAACAGGGGCAACGGAGTATTCCAAAGAAATATTCAAATAACATGAGCATAACAAATTGTTAACAGAAGGTTAGAAGGGTTCCGGTGTGCCTCAGTTGTGTGATGAACTGAGCAGCCTTTGCTTGGGTTAGCTTACATGGGGCCACTCGACCAAGTCTAGTCAGCTCTGCCTTTGCCTGTACAGTTCCCAATTTCAGTTTGGCCAGATCTTTGTCAGGTCTCTAAATAATCCAAACAACACAAATCCTATGTAAAGTACAAAAATAGCAAGGGAAATGGGCTTGACACGAAAATTATCCTGCCTGCTGCTGATCTCTGTGATCCTTCCGCTGCTGATCCCTGGCGTGCTGAGTAAGCTCGAGCTGGTTGTTCTTTATCCGATTCCTTCCCACTCAACAGCCCCATCAAACAGCTCAAATCGTGGACAACGGGGAGCAGGGAGATGCTGGCGAGAAGCTGCTGATGGACTCCACTCGACCGATTCGTCCGATACGAGGTATGTAAAGAGCTCGACAATAATAAGCGCCGCTGTTTAGAGTAGCTCTTCCTCTGTGCCCTCCGCGCAGCCTTGAAGCTCCAAAAAATTAGGGGACGCAACGCTGTCGTGAGTGAAGAAGGCGATTACGAGGACGACGATGCGGACGGACACAAGAATAGAAACGGCTGCGATGCCAGCGATGATCCGAAGCGCCAGAGCATCTACACCGTCAACATCAACACAGTCAACATGGACGATGAGGAGGCCAAGCAAATGATGTCGGAGCGCGAGTTCAATCAGGCGATCAAGCAGCTGATGAAGTTCGGTGAGAACACCGTGGGTAAGTGACACGCCCATTGAAACGCCGATTGCTAAACATTTGCCATTGAATTCCCATCATGCCGCAGCTGACAAACACTTGAAACGCATTGAGAATGGAGCTGGCATGGATTTCCGGCGTGAATTCGCCAGCGACGAAGCAAATCCCTACATCTGATGATAATTGCAAAATATTTTGTTTGAGCTGAGTTCGTTCCTCAATTTCTCGTACAATTCAAGCGTGAGCTGAGAGGGAATAAGTATATATATATGTATATATATGTATATGTACATGTATATCATTTAATTATATACATATATGTATATATATATACATATGTAACTTTTTTCTTTTCTTCAGAAATATATTTTCTTGGAAAATCAGCAAAATTTTGGAATACTTTCTATACCGTGCATACTATAGGCAGTAATGTACATCCTCTATTATCTATATGTTGTATATGTTTTTTATATATTCATTCATGTTTTTGATTGGAAAATGCAGCCGGAGTTCGTCTAGCCATCTTCGCCTGTACGTCCGTTCTTTGGCTTATCCTTCTATCCGTCCTTCAGTTCAGCATTCATCCGTTTCATCGGTCTATCCTTCCATCTCTTTCGCTCTTTGCCATTTCGATCAGCACAGATGACACCTTTAAGTATCTTCAATTCAGTTTTTTTTTCTTGTCCCTCCGTCTGTCCGCCCGTCTGTCTGTCTATCAGCAGGAAGAGTTTGCTTAACATACAGGGCATGGGCTCGTCGTGCCCTCCCACTCTACTTCAGCGTGATTTGAACTATTTTCTTGATAGCCATTCATTTGATATTGCTAATGGAATTGTTGCCCATCTAGATTCCTAGCTAGATATTCAGCATGGATCATTAATTTTATGAATACTGTTGCTCTTCTTGCTCTTCTTCTTGTTGTTGTTGCCTTTGGAGGCATGTGTCAAAGTTTGAAGTTTCATTTTGTTTCGTTGTTTTCCATTCCGGCTTTACATTTGCGCCAATGCTTAATTATGCCAACATTTAAACGTCAGCTATGTGAGAGAATGACATTTGAATGACCTTCAGATACCCTGTAATGCCAGAGAGCGAGAGGGAGAGAGAGAGAGAGTAAGCAGACTGCAGTCAGAGTTTATGCCAGGTCTTGTATGCTCTGCATGTGTGTGCTTTACAGGGTATATTAAAGTGTAACTGCCATGCTTTGAATGCTCAATCTCATATTGATCAGCCACGCAGCTGGAATTGAAATTGTAGCTAGCCCCAGAGGGTGGGAGGGGCTAAGGGCTGACTAGGCCCGGCTAGCCGAGTAGGCCAAGCTGCCTCGGGACCCGCGCGCAATTTATGGCAATTACCAGCGATTAAAGAGTTGAGCGCAAGCCCAAAAAAAAGAAGTGAGAGAAACTTTTGCCAGAGCCGCAGACAGAAATGGAGCGAGAGAGAGAGGGAGAGAGAGCTGAGTGGGACAGCGGCTGGCGCGATAAATGTAATCAAATTTAATTTCGACAAATTGCTTTTGAATTACGCGACCTTCGACGTTTGGCGCCGGCGAAACACAGCTGAAAATTGTTGTTAAAATAATAATAACTTCTGTCTGTGTCTGTGTGTGTGTGTGTGTGTCAGAGCACAATTGCCACAATAACAACAGCAATTTGCGCTTGAAATGATGAAAACAAAGTAAACGTCGAGAACGACGACGACGACGGGGCGTATACGTAATAATAAAAATTATGATTCATACGCAAAAATACACACAGAGCGAGAGAGAGAGAGAGAGAGAGAGAGAGAGAGAGAGTGAGGGCAGAGAGATACCGTTGAGCTGCTGATTGGCCATTTGGCTTAAATGCACAAATTAATTTGATTGAACCACATCGAAGAGCCGCCAGCACAGCACAGCAAAACTCAAACAGAAAACTTTTCCAGTTGTTCATATTTCTCAGTTGTTGCGTTTTCCATTTGCAAACTTTAAGCAAATAATCAGTTTTAGCTTCAATAATTTTGATATTTTTATCGAATTGCAAATGGAATTGCTTAAATTGGCTTGCACTACGGGAATATGAAAGATTTCAAACTTTTCAATATAGAAAAGGAAAGAGATGAGAGAGAGAGAGAGAGAGAGAGAGAGAGAGAGAGAGAGAGAGAGAGAGAGAGAGGAAAATTTCGAACTCTTCAATATAGAGGAGGGGAGAGAACAGAAAAATGAGAGAGAGAGCTAATCAGTCCTCATTCAGTAGTTAGAGGTATTTTTCATCCATTTCAAATGACTTTAAAGCTTTATTCATTCCTTAAGCACATTGCGACTCTGCTATGCCACCATCACAAATCGAATCCCTCCCTGATGATTTTGGTAACGAATCATTGAACTAAATATCTCCAATTGAAATCAAAATAAATACATGAATAAAAGAATGAATAGACGAATGCGATTCGAACATTGTGGACAAGCCTATCTGATTGTAGAATACTCGTTCATGATGAAGCAAAATCAAGCAGGAATCAGAAACATGATCTATGGGCAGATCATAGGCAATAGCTTATATAAAGACTGAGCTGTATAGAAACTGGGTTATGAATATATACTCTCCGGTATTTCATTAAGGCAGATGGACAGACATGAGTGTCCATCAGCCACATCCAATATAGACTCTCCTCATTCTGCAGGCGAGCATCAGAAATAGTCAAGCACAATATAAATAGAAACAATGTGAGCTCGCCTAATTTGTTAGTACAGCCGAAATAGAGTGCTTTGCACTCCATACTCCACCGCCTTTGTTACGCCATTCTGATACCCTGTAATGCTGAGAGTATTGGTCTATACTTGTTAGTTAAGTTAGTTCTCTCTGGATAATAATGTCAGCAAGTGTGCATAGACCTTACTTATTAATAAGACGCTTTCAATGCAATCACGGCTAGATTTATGGCTAGAATTGCAAGAAATTAAAGTAATTCAGGCTGAGAAATGCGAAAGGTGTGCATTCCAGGAACGTCAAAATCAATGATAAAGCCTATAGGTAGAGTCATTATATATCTCTCAGTTTCTCTCTCTCTCTTTTTTCACTCTGTACATCTACCATTCTCTCTATTTATCTCTCTCTCTCTCTCTCAATCTATCTCTCTCTCAATCGCTCTCTCTCTCAATCTATCTCTCTCTCTCAATCTATCTTTCTCTCTCTCTCAATCGCTCTCTCTCTCAATCTATCTCTCTCTCTCAATCTATCTTTCTCTCTCTCTCAATCGCTGTCTCTCTCAATCTATCTCTCAATCGATCTTTCTGTCAATCTATCTCTCTCTTTCTCAATCGATCTCTCCCCTCTCTCTCTTTCCCTCTATCTGTCTATATTTCTCTCTCTCTCTCTCTCTCTCTCTCTATCTCTTTCTCTCTATCTCCCCCTTTCCCTCTTTCATTCCATATAGCTCCATAAACTTACACTTCGATTTCAATAATTTCTTTTTAGTTCAATTCCATTAAAGGGTATCCCACGCGTCCTGCTGTTTAGGCTTAGTTTATGACTCATTGTTCTTCATCAATTTTTTGGTTGTATTTGCTAGGTAATTTCCATGCAAACAATTGCTTGATTCTTTCTTTCTTTCTCTCTATATTCAGTGTATTTTCTCTCTATCTCTCTCTTAGTCTCTCTCTCTCTTTTGCCACCGTCATTGCGGGCTTCATCAACTGACAATTTTACGAGCAACCTCTACTCCTACCCCTCCCCTTTTCTTCACTCTTCCGCTCGCTCTCCCTCTCTCCTGCTTTGGCTGCGCATTTACATTTTGACAACAGGCAAACAGCAAAAAAAAAAAGAGAGAAGAGAGGAGAGAAAAGAGTCAAACTAATCTAACAACTGCTAACAACAAGAGCCGCTCTAGCCCCTCCCCACTTCAGTGTGGCCATGCCCATGGCGAACGCCCCAAACGAGTGGCCGCCGGGCAGCGCGCGCTTGCTGCCTCCACTTGCTCCCCCTCCCTGCCTCTGCTGCGCCACTGGCTATGCTTGGCTCCCATCTGCTGCTGCTGTTCGCTTTGCCTAACAAAGCATTTTGCAGCTGGCAAATATCTCCCTCTATTTCTCTCTCTCTCCCCCTCGCTCTCCCTCTGTCTCTTTCTCTATCGCCATCTCTCTGTGTGTGCGAATACGTTGACAATTTGCGTTTGTCAGTTGTTGTGTTAATTAGAAAACTTTTTTCCCAAACAACAACAAATGAGAAAACTCAAAAACGATTTTCAACGCCACAAAAGTTCCGACTACCACGCCCCACCCCCCTTCCTCACCACTCCACTGCCCCCGCGACCCTTTACACCGTTCACATTTTGTTGTATATATATTATTTGCATTTTCTATTTGATTTTGTTGTTTATATGTTTGTTGCATTTCCCCTTCCATCGCTTGTTGTTGTTGTTGTCTTTTTGGCAAATGAATAATGAATTACGAATTTACGTTCATTTCGCATTTGCTTTGATATACTCCAATTTTTTATTCCCATCTAGTTTGCATTATCTCAGAGAGAGAGAGAGAGAGAGAGAGACGGGGCAGAGCTCTCTCGTAAAAGCCCAAAAATAAAGAAGATATATACACATCTCGAGCATATAGTTAAGAGCTCTGGCTTTGCCACAGATTCGCTTAAGATAAATATGCAGACACAAGACACAGAACTACAGAGCAGCGGGATGAGGAGGCATAGCAGCAGGAGACGGCCAAAGAAGAGAAAAAGGCGATTTTTATGTTTATTTTGCAAAATTAAATCCAACGTTTTCGTTTTATGGGGTGAAATTTGCTTTGTTTGCAAAATAATATACTACCACACTCTATATACATATATAGAGAGGACACACATACATACAGATATACATGTAGTGCATATGTGAGTGTGTGTATATGTGTGCATGTAAGCCATATCAGGCAACTGTAGAGCACCAAATGCAGTAGAGAAAACTTTCGACTTGAGTCTAACAATGGAGAAATACTCTATATGGGGAAATACTTTACATGAACTACTGAGTAAAATATAGAAGAAACTGTTGGAAAACTGGTTCAGCAGTCAGTTGATAGCTGCATGAACTAAGAAATGAACCAGTCGTGAGCTACCAAATGAGCAGCTTAGAGCAGAGTCAGTTATTACTTATTACCTAATGAATCTATGTCCATTCACCAAGTGAACGTCAAAATGAACCTGTTGTGACTGAGTCAAACTGAGTCGAGAAGAACTGCTATATGAATCATTAGTGAACTTTTAAGTGAACCAGTGTTCGTATGG